GAAAGAAACATAAAAAAAATAATAATAAAATCCTGGAAAAACACGCATGCTAAAACAGTCCTAAACTAAAATTAGACAAAAATAATGAAAAATTATGTGATTGTAGAAACCCTGAAGACTGCCCGTTGGAAAATAAATGCCGCACAAAATCTGTGATATATCAATGCACTATCTCATCCATTGACACTCCTAACACCGAAAGGATATACATTGGTTCCATGAAAAATGAATTTAAAATTAGATGGAGACAACACAAAAGCTACTTCAATAATATTAGAAATCAAAATCAGACAACCCTATCCAAATATTTTTGGCATTTAAAAGAAATGAATAAAACACCAAAAGTAAAATGGAAAATAATAAATAGAACAAGAACTTGTAAAACCTGGGATGACCCATGCCCTTTATGCCTACATGAAAAACTACACATTATTAAGTTTCTAAATAATGAAAATTTATTAAACCATAGACATGAGTTAACGGATATTGCCGATATCAACAAATTTTCGCATTAAATAATTAGCATAAAAAATAAATTTCATTGTCTAATAAAAGGTTTAAAAGCGATGAGATAGAAAAACCCTTTATGAAGTCGTTAAAAAAACAAATTGTTGTTCAGTGTAGCGTGTTTATGTACGAAACAGCCCTTTAGAAAAAAAATTTGTTAGACACTTAACGATAAAGCACACCACAAAGATCTGTTACAGGGGCTTAGCAACCTTGACATACTCAGGAAAGACATTAGAATAACAACGAATTTATACTGACAGCAAACCGCCTGCATACGGACAGAAAATGATTTCAGCAGTTATACGAAAATAGAAAGGGGTGAAAGACAAGGATTTGTCTTCTCGCCGGATTTATTCAACCTATACAGTGAGACAATTCTGAGAGAATTAGAAGTCCTACCAGTATTCATTTATGGCAGCCACAATCTTAACAATACAAGATATGCAGATGGCATAGTGCTGATAGCAGACACGGAAAGGAAAGTACAAAACCTCCTACAGAAGGTAACGAAAGAAAACGAGAAGAAAGAACTAAGCATAAACTGCAAGAAGAAAGAATGAATGGTTATCAGCAAAAGGGTGAGCCGAAAATTCAAATTACAAATTGGGGATACTAAAAGTACAAGAATTTAGACATCTGGGAAGTATTTTAACAGAGGACGGAAAGTGGGACTCTGAAATCCGAAGCCGCAGTTTGGGAGGGAAAGATGCCTTTCAAAAGCTAAGCAGAGTATTAAGAGACAGAAAACATTGTTAGAAACAAAGAAATTAGTACTGAATTTTTACGTGATATCTGTCCTCTTTGACAATTTCCTTAAAGATGAAGAAGAGGCCTGAAGCAACAGAACCGTGGTTCTACAGAAGGATGCTGAGGATCCATAGACCAAACATGTGAACCAAAATACACTGTCATCAACAACTAATATTTTGAAACTATTATATAACACAGAGAATTAGAAACCCTACCAAGATTCATTATTAGGGACCATAATCTTAATAATATAAGATATGCAGATGGCACAGTGTTGATTCCAGGCATGAAAAAAAAAAACTAAAAAAAGTTTCTACAGAAGGTAGTGAAGGAAAGTAAACTACAAGAAGACAGAATGAATGGTTATCAGCAAAAGGGTGAGGTGAGCCCAAAAATGCAAATTAAAAATTGGGGATACCAAAATGAAACAGGTACAACAATTTAAATAACTGGGAAGTGTTTTAACAGAGGACGGAAAGTGCAACTCTGAGATCCGAAGACGTATTGGGATGGCCGAAGATGCCTTCCAAAAGCTAAGCGGTGTATTAAGAGACAGAAAAATTCCGTTAGAAACAAAAAAAAGAAAAAAAAAAAGGAGTATTAAATTGTTACGTCATATCTGTCTTCCTGTATAGTAGTGAGTGGTGGACAATATCCTCAAATATGAAGAAGAGAGTTGAAGCAACAGAAATGTGGTCGTACAGAAAGATACAAGGAATACCATGTGAGCAACGACGATGTTTTGTAGAAAATGAAAATGAAGAGGAATCTTATACTTAACATCAGGAAGAAATTTCTGGGGCACTTAATGAGAAAGGAGAGCATAGAAAATCTGATACTCAAAGGACAGATTGAAGCAAAGAGGGACAGAGGAAAACAACGCAGAACTTACTTGAGAGGCTTCAAAGAGTGGATGACAGAACAGGGCCTGGGAGCAATGACAAAACGACAAAACATATTAAGATCTACAAGAAACAGGAAGAGGTGGAGGGCTATGATCACCTACGCACTGAAGGGACACAGTACATAAAAAAGAAGACCTGTAAAATACTGGTTTGGACCAAATTCTTCCTTTTTTACTTTCGTCTTTCAATCTTCCTTTCCAATAAACATTCGTTCCTTGTTTTTTTTCTTTTATTCCTTCTTTCTTCTATTTTTCTTTTCTTTATTTTCTTCAATGTTTTCTCCTTTCTTTCATTGTTTTTCCTTCAGTCCTTCTATCTTCACTTCCTCATTTTCTTTCTTTCTTTCTTTCTTTCTGGCTTCGCTTTCTTTCCTCTATTTTCTTTCCTTTTTTTTTTTTAATATTTTTCTTTCTTTCAGTTATTTTCCTTTAGTCTTTCCATCTTAAAAAAAACATTAGTTGCTTCTTTCTTTCTTTCTTTCTTTCTTTCTTTCTTTCTTTCTTTCTTTTGTTTTCACTTCCCTTCCTATAAACATTCGTTCTTTCTTTTTCTTTCACTCCTTTCTTTCTTTTATTTTTCCTTTCTTCATTTTCTTGAAAGTTTTCTTCTTTCTTTCATTTTTTCTTTTTTTTCTTTACAATTGCAATCATTTTACTTTCCTTCTTTCATTCTTTCTTTTTCAGAATGTCAAATGCTTTCTTTTTTCCTTCTTTCTTTCCTTCTTTCTTTTTTAAAAATTTCAAGTGTTTTCTTCCTTTTGAAAACCATCAATTCTTTTAATTGCTTTTTCTTTTCGGAATTTCACGTTCTCTCTTCCCTTAATTATTTTCTTTTTTTATTTATTTTCTTTCTTTTTTGTTTATTTTCTTTCTTCCTTCTTTTATTTATTTTTTTCTTTCTTTCTTCCTTTTTATTTATCTTCTTTCTTTCTTATTTTATTTATTTTCTTTCTTTCTTCCTTCCTTTATTTTCTTTCTTCCTTTTATTTATTTTCTTTCTTTCTTTTATTTATTTTCTTTCTTTTTTCCTTTTTATTTATTTTCTTTCTTTCTTTCTTTCTTTCTTTCTTTCTTTCTTTCTTTCTTTATTTATTTATTTTCTTTCTTTCTTTTCTTTTTTTCTTTCTTTTATTTATTTTCTTTCTTTCTTTTATTTATTTTCTTTCTTTCTTCTTTTATTTATTTTCTTCTTTCTTTCAATGTTTTTCCTTCAGTCCTTCTATTTTCACTTCCTATAAATTAGTTCCACATTTTCTTTAATTCTTTCTTTTTGGCTTCGTCTTCTTTCCTCTATTTTTCTTTGCTTTTTCTTTAATTTTTTTCACCCTTTCAATGATTTTCCTTTTCGATTTGATTTATCTTTCTTTCTTTCTTCCTTTATTTATTTTCTTTCTTTCTTCTTTTATTTTCTTTCTTTCTTATTTTCTTTATTTTCTTTCTTTCTTCTTTTATTTATTTTCTTTCTTATTTTCTTTATTTTCTTTCTTTCTTCTTTTCTTTATTTTCTTTCTTATTTTCTTTATTTTCTTTCTTTCTTCTTTTATTTATTTTCTTTCTTATTTTATTTATTTTCTTTCTTTCTTATTTTCTTTATTTTCTTTCTTTTTCATTTTTATTTATTTTCTTTCTTTCTTATTTTCTTTATTTTCTTTCTTTCTTCCTTTATTTATTTTCTTTCTTTTATTTATTTTCTTTCTTTCTTCCATCCTTTATTTTCTTTCTTCCTTTTATTTATTTTCTTTCTTTCTTTTATTTATTTTCTTTCTTTTTTCCTTTTTATTTATTTTCTTTCTTTCTTATTTTCTTTCTTTCTTCCTTTATTTATTTTCTTTCTTTTATTTATTTTCTTTCTTTCTTCTTTTATTTATTTTCTTCTTTCTTTCAATGTTTTTCCTTCATCCTTCTATTTTCACTTCCTATAAATTAGTTCCACATTTTCTTTAATTCTTTCTTTTTGGCTTCGTCTTCTTTCCTCTATTTTTCTTTGCTTTTTTCTTTAATATTTTTCTTCCTTTCAATGATTTTCCTTTCGTCTTTCCACCTCTTCTTAGTTTAAACATTAGTTGTTTATTTTTCTTTCTTTTTTATTTCTTGTTTCTTCTTTCTTGTTCTTTTTCTTTCTTTCCGTTTTCACTTTCTTTCTTCTATATTTCCTTGTGTTATTTCATCAATTTGTTCTTCTTTCACTATTTTTCCTTTTAGTCATCCATCTTCCCTTCCTCTAGATGTTTTTTCCCGCTAATGTTTCCTCTTTTCTTCCTCCAGACCCTCTTTTTCACGTCTGCCAAAAGGTATAAACCTTATCAGTTCGTCCATCTCTATTTTCTTCCAAATTTGGTGCCATTCACTCTGAGCGCTTGTCGGATGTCTGCATCACCAAGCAGCCACCCACTGTTACCCAATGACACCCGAAATCTATAATATTTTTCTTTCCACTCAGCGCCAATAAAACTTAATTTAATTTGCGTATATTTTACCATCTTCGTCTCCGTCCCGACATGTTTAACACGATGTAGGCGTTTCTGTTAATTTCAGAAGCGATGAAATACGTTTTTTTTTTCTTATGCAGCGAAAAGTGAAGATAAAAAAGGAAGAAACTGAAGAACAATGAAATGAGAAGAGGAAGAAAAATAAATGAAAACGATTGTCTAAGATAGAAATACAATTACACAGATAGATAGATAGATAGATAGATAGATAGATAGATAAATATATGTAAGCATGTATGTATATATATATATATATATATATATATAGAGAGAGAGAGAGAGAGAGAGAGAGAGAGAGACAGATGGATGGATAGATAGATAGATAAAGAAATACACACAGAACGATATCAGTATATAAGTATATATATATATATGTGTATGTGTGTGTATAGATAGATAGATAGATAGATAGATAGATAGATAGATAGATATGAACAAAGAAATAGGGAGATATGAACAGACTGAGATAAATAGGAACTGACTGAGATAGATAGATAGATAGATAGATAGATAGATAGAAAAAAAATATGTATATGTATGTATATATATATATATATATATATAGAGAGAGAGAGAGAGAGAGACAGATGGATGGATAGATAGATAGATAAAAGAAATACACACAGAACGATATCAGTATATAAGTATATATATATATATGTGTGTGTGTGTGTGTGTATAGATAGATAGATAGATAGATAGATAGATAGATATGATGACAAATATGAAAAAAGAAATGGGGAGATATGAACAGACTGAGATAAATAGGAACTGACTGAGGTAGATAGATAGATAGATAGATAGATAGATAGTTTAAAAATAAATATAGTTATATAGATAGAAAAGTAGATAGATCGATAATCTAAGAAAGAAAAAAGATTATAGATAGATAATCTAAGGAAGAAATGCATTTATATAATGTATGTATGTATGTATAGATAGATAGATAGATAGATAGATAGATAGATAGATAGATAGATAGATAGATAGATACTCATGTAGATTGATTCATTTTTGTACAGCTTACCATTTCTTTGCAGGATACTTCAAACCAAAAAATATATTTTTTAATATGTAAGAATTTTTATGGAGTTAGCAAGATAGATAGATAGATATATACTAATATATATATATATATATATATATATATATATATATATATATAGATAACTAGATTCATTTCGAAAAACCCTCGAATTTTTTATTTGCTAATCAAATCAATCTCGAGGGAAAAAAAGGTTTTAAAAAAAGAAAGAGCTACAAACATGAACTTCTGCCGACAAAAAAAAAAAAAAATTTTGATGCAGGTCTGAATCCCAAAGAAAAAACCCCGATACGAGTAACAACTAACTAACAAAAGAGCTCAATACAACCGTAGAGCAGACTGAATAAAAAACAAACAAACTAGGAATGATCCACGTAGTAATCCTCCTACTTGTAATTGTAGAAACAAAAACATCTGTCCATTACAGGTAAAATGCCAGCAAGAATGAAAATTTACAAAAATACTGAGGATACAAACCCTAAAACATACATAGGTGCTACTCAGGATAAATTTAAAAAAGATATTATAACCACACGAATAGTTTTAAGAACGCAAAAATTAAACATAGTACCACGCTATCTACCTACGTATGGAAAACCAAACAAGAAGATAATATAGACCCCATCCTTAAATGGGAAATATTAAAAAAATGCCCAAAATATAAAGCAGGCCATAAATTTTGCAAATTATGTGCTGAGGAGAAATTAGCCATAGCTTTATATGATTAACCTAACCAGCTATTAAACTCTAAAACTGAAATTCTTAATGTATGTAGACATAAAAAATCTTGGCTACTAAATTAGACGTTTTCCCGTTATTGACTTTCCACTGAGGATTTTTTTTTTGTTGAACAAATATTTATCCCCCCACCCCCCACTTAGTTTTTTTTTTTGTTTTTTTGTCACGTGGTATGATTTTAGCTATCACCTATAAATATGTGTTTCTCTTTGCCTCGTTAGCCAAACTTTCCCTGACGATCCGTTTAGGTGAAACCTAGGTAGGTTTGTCTGGCTCACTAGGTGTATCTATATATATATATATATATATATATATATATATATATATATATATATATATATCAGAATATATGTACATATGGATAGATAATGAACATAATGAGATATATAATGATAGATAGATAGATAGATAGATAGATGAATACATATATAGAGATAGATAGATAGATAGATAGATAGATAGATAGAAATTAAAATACTAAGATATATATATATAGATAGATAGATGAATGATAGATAGATAGATAGATAGAAATTAAAATACTAAGATAGATAGATAAATAAGCAGATCAAAATATATGTACATATAGATAATGAACATGAGATTATTAGATATAAATTAAAATATTAATATATATATATATATATATATATATATATATATATATAGAGAGAGAGAGAGAGAGAGGGAGAGATAGAGATAGGGACAGGGACACAGATAGATAGAGAGAGAGAGAGAGAGAGAGGAAGTTAAGGGTTAGGAAGAGATGAATTATGACAAAAAGAGAGGCAAAGGCAGAGAGAGATAGATAGATAGATAGAGAGAGAGAGAGAGAGAGAGAGAGAGAGAGATAGAAAGTTTTCGAAGATTGGAGAGAGAAAGAGAGAGTGAAGAATTAGGGTGAATATCAGCAAAGTGTGAGATTTGCAGCAACAGAAATGTGGTTATACAGAAAGATACTGAGAATACCATGTACCGAAAATGTGAGCAATGACGAAATTTTAGATAAAAAATAGAAACAAAAGGAAACTCATAATTAATATCAGGAAGAGGCAGTTGAAATTTCTGGGGCACGTAATGAGGAAAGATGGCTTGGAAAATCTGATACTCGCAGGTCAGATTGAGGGAAAGAGGCACAGAGGAAAACAACGCGGAACATGATGGGCTTGAGCAAATGGATGGCGGAACAGGCTTTAGGAGAATAAAGAAAAAAGACAAAACTAATTAAGAGTAACAAGTGACAGGTGTGAGTGGAGGACCATGATCACCTACGGCCTGAAGGGACACGACACATAAAAGGTGAAATATAGATACATTGCGTGCAAAAGAAAAAAATATTTTAAAAAAGAACTAAAAATTTCTCTGCTTCCTTCCTCTTCTTCTTTTATACTCAGTGTCCCTTTACGACATGGTTGGGGGGGGGGCGGTTACGATTTTCCAAAATGTCCTATCCTTTGTAGCTCTGAACAATATTTGTCCCCTCACTATATTTCCCAGTCCCTGTTCTGCTTCACATAAGCTCCTTAGGTAGGACCCTCCTTATTTCCCTCTGACCTTCTTGAAATGTTTTGCGAGTGCCAAATTCTCTAGGCCATGTTTTCTAATTATATGTTACAGATATTTCAATTGTATCTGATCCTTAATCAAAGCAAATTTTAAAATGATTACCCGAATCGATTTTTACGACTAAAAATGGAATTATCATTTAATTTCATCGTTGAATTTAAGAACTGAACTATTTACGAAACTGAGCTTAAATTTCTAACGCCGTTCATATTTTATCATCTTCTGTATTTGGCACTTTCTGTATTTGATTTATTTTCTGTTTCTATTCATTTTTCTTGTTTATCCGCAATTGTATTTTTTTCTTTCGAAACTTTCGCCACAATTTTTTTTTCCATTTTTACTTTTTTTTTTTTTGAATTCCAACCACTTTACTTTCTTACTTTTATTCTTTCTTTCTTTTTGATCTGATGAAGCTACTTAAAAATATGACTCGAGGTTCATATATAAAATATTGGTTTTGTGGCAATATGCATTGTTAGGCAAAACTACATCTGACGTAGCTTATTCTATGTTCAGTTTCCTTAAATATTTGAGACGTCTCTCACCATATATCCTTGATGATTATCACAAATTTGCTTTCAAATATCGCAGCCTCACTTTGATCTAATCCAAAAATTATAATGGTAATGGCAGTATTAGCAATCATTATTTTACTTTCATTCTCATTCAGAATTTCAAGTTCTTTTTTTATTTATTTATTTAGTTTCTTTTTTCCTTTCTTTAATTATTTTCCTTTTTACTTTCTTTATTTATTTTCCTTTTTTCTTTCTTCTTTTTTTTATTTATTTATTTTCTTTCTTCCTTTCTTTATTTTCCTTCTTTCTTTCGTTTTTATTTATTTTCCTTCTTTCTTTCTTTCTTATTTATTTTCCTTCTTTCTTTCTTCCTTCCTTCCTTTCTTTTTCTTTCTTTCTTCTTCCTTTATTTTTCTTCCTTCTTTCTTTCTTTATTTTTCTTTCTTTCTTCTTCCTTTATATATTTTCCTTCTTTCTTTCTTTCTTTCTTTTTCTTTCTTTTTCTTCCTTCTTTCTTTCTTTCTTTACTTATTTTCTTTCTTCCTTTCTTTCTTTATTTTTTCTTTCTTTCTTTCTTTCTTTTTTCCTTTCTTCCGTTATTTTCTTTATTTTCTTCCTCTATTTTGTTCCTTTATTTTCCTCCTTTATTTTCCTCCTTTATTTTCTTTCTTTCTTTCTTTCTTTCTTTCTTTCTTTCTTTCTTTCTTTCTTTCTTTCTTTCTTTCGTTTGAACATCATTACTTATTTTACTTTCTTTTTTTTGAATTCCAAACACTTTACTTTCTTACTTTTATTCTTTTTTTTTTTTTGATCTGATGAAGCTACTTAAAAATATGACTCGAGGTTCGTGTATAAAATATTGGTTTTGTGGCAATATGCATTGTTAGACAAAACTTAGCTTATTCTATGTTCAGTTTCCTGACGTATATGCCATCATTTTATCGCTTACTAGAACGAAAACCAAACTGAATTTTGAGGAGCTGACTTTCATAAAACGATGAGAGTCTAGGTAATATAATGTTACCATGATGGATCGAATTGCGATAAAATTGAGACTAGCCTCAGAAGGAAACATTCAATTTTTTATTGTCTGAGTAACTAGTGTTAGTTTAGGTTGAAATTTATAAAATCTTTCTGTAAAAAAAATTTTTTTTTTTTAAGAACATAGGTTTTCCACGTTCAGTAGCTTTTATAGCTCTTTACAGTACCGATTGCGGTTTCCTTCCTAACCTTTTGTTTAAAGTAATGTTGAATACCAATATCTTGATTATGCTATTATTTTCTCTTTGCATTATATATGCTATCTAATTTAGTTGTTGCTACTGTTGGTAGACCTCAACTAACGTGCCTTATGTTGCCTTGTATTCTTGTGTGGGATTCTGTAGCGGCAGTTTACAATCTCCAAAGAAGGATGGTTTTTGCCACAACTCACAGGCTTCACTTGCTCAAAGCCATTTAAACCATTGAGCTTAGGAAGCGGTACATACAGCTGACATTTTAGATATTTCTGAAATAATTTGTCACCATGCATGACATCCATACGAAAATCCTGATCTGATGAAGCTACTTAAAAATATGACTCGAGGTTCATATATAAAATATTGGTTTTGTGGCAATATGTATTGTTAGACAAAACTACATCTGACGTAGCTTATTCTATGTTCAGTTTCCTTAAATATTTGAGACGTCTCTCACCATATATCCTTGATGATTATCACAAATTTGCTTTCAAATCTCGCAGCCTCACTTTGATCTAATCCAAAAATTATAATGGTAATGGCAGTATTAGCAATCATTATTTTACTTTCATTCTCATTCAGAATTTCAAGTTCTTTTTTTATTTATTTATTTAGTTTCTTTTTTCCTTTCTTTACTTATTTTCCTTTTTACTTTCTTACTTTATTTATTTTCCTTTTTTTCTTTCTTCCTTTTTTTATTTATTTATTTTCTTTCTTTCTTTATTTTCCTTTTTTCTTTCTTTCTTTTTTATTTATTTTCCTTCTTTCTTTCTTTCTTTCTTCCTTCCTTTCTTTTTCTTTCTTTCTTCTTCCTTTATATATTTTCCTTCTTTCGTTCTTTCTTTATTTATTTATTTTTCTTCCTTCTTTCTTTCTTTCTTTACTTATTTTCTTTCTTCCTTTCTTTATTTATTTTCTTTCCTTCTTCCTTTCTTTCTTTCTTTCTTTCTTTCTTTTTTCTTTTTTTCTTTCTTTCTTCCGTTATTTTCTTTATTTTTTCCTCTATTTTCCTCTTTTATTTTCCTCTTTTATTTCCTCCTTTATTTTCTTCTTTTATTTTCTTTCTTTCTTTCTTTCTTTCTTTCTTTCTTTCTTTCTTTCGTTTGAACATCATTACTTATTTTACTTTCTTTTTATCAGATTTTCAAGTCTTTCTTTCTTTTTCTTTTTCTAAAGTCTTCATTTCTTTTCGCTTTTTGAATTTTTCCTTTTTCTTTGTTTCGAAAAATTTTCTCTTCTTTATTTCACGATTTCCTTTCTTTTATTTTTCTTTATTTTTCCTCCTCTTTTATTTTCTTTTTTATTTTCCTTTCTTTTCTTTCTTTTTTCTTTCTTTCTTTCTTTCTTTCTTTCTTTCGTTTGAACATCATTACTTATTTTACTTTCTTTTTATCAGATTTTCAAGTCTTTCTTTCTTTTTTCTTTTTTCTAAAGTCTTCATTTCTTTTCGCTTTTTTGAATTTGAATTCCTTTTTTCTTTGTTTCGAAAAATATCAATTCTCTTCTTTATTTCACGATTTCTAGTCTTTCTGTCTTTCTTTCTTTCTTTCTTTCTTCCGTTATTTTCTTTATTTTCTTCCTCTATTTTCCTCCTTTATTTTCTTCTTTTCTTTTCTTTCTTTCTTTCTTTCTTTCTTCCGTTATTTTCTTTATTTTCTTCCTTTATTTTCCTCCTTTATTTTCCTCTTTTATTTTCTTACTTTCTTTCTTTTTTTCTTTCTTTCTGTCTTTCTTTCTTTCTTTCTTCCGTTATTTTCTTTATTTTCTTCCTTTTTTCTTTCTTTCTTTCTTTGTTTATTTGTTTGTTTCTTTCTTTTGAACATCATTACTTATTTTACTTTCTTTTTATCAGATTTTCAAGTCTTTTTTTTTTCTTTTTCTAAAGCCTTCATTTCTTTTCGTTTTTTTGAATTTGAATTCCTTTTTTCTTTCTTTTGAAAAACATCAATTCTCTTCTTTATTTCACGATTTCTAGTCTTTCTTTATTTCTTTCTTTCTTTCTTTCTTTCTTTTTCTTTCTAATATATAGATTCTCTATTGCTCTATATTCCCCTCTCTTTATTCTCTTATCAACCCGCATCTTGCTCCTCGCCATTTTGCCAGACCTTTAGTAATTCAGTGTTTCATCTTAGAAGATTAATGACTTTTATATTTGTTCGGAGTCCCGCGTAGCAGACGCCATCTTAGGAACCCCGAAGGCCACCGGTGAGGCACCGGAGCAAATGTCCAACCGATTTTCTAAAATGCAAACAATGGACAAAACGCCCGAATAAATGCGTTGAAGGTTACAGTTTATAGAGCAATGACACTGATTCAACTGCGCATTTGCAAAGAATGGACAATGTTGCGCAACAAAGTCGACGTAAGTAACGTTAAAAATGACATCGTATAAGTCTGAAATGAGAAATAATTGAATTCTTTAAAACTTTCTGCTACAACAGATATTGTATTTTTTGTTTCGGGAGAAATTCTGTTAGGAAACTTTGTTACATCGACACAGACAAATTTTAAGCTTAAATTCTAGGAAGTCAATCCGCAAATTATGCAGTCCTTATGAATATCGTGGAAATAGGTTGCGCAGCCATGATACAACTAAGCAACCAATCTGAGAAAGCATGGATAGAAACTCTTCACTGAAGTTACTCAGTCAACAATGAGCTGCCAAAGAGAACTAAGGTGGCGTATAACATTCTCTTGCACAACGAATGATTTTTTAGATTCTACAAATAAGGCTCTTTTCTTTTTTGCTGAAAAGAAAAAAAGAAAAAAAAACATCACCCGGATGTTCAGCATCTCTAAAGTGAGAATTTAGCAAGCAGATAATTCTTCTTCTTATGTGACGTGTGATATCAGAATGTCGTCAATTTCCCGTTCGCTGGAGTGACAGACGTCAACAAAATCGCATCAAACACTTGCAAAGTCTCACACTGGATAGAGGTTCAGTTTGGGGTTATACATTAGCTTGTTTCGCTGTGCGCTTAGAGCAGCGGTTTATCGGTGCTGAAAAGGGATAATTGCATGCCGAAATCAAATCGAACTGCAGTCATTTTCCTCATAAATAGCACCAGAAAGATTTTGTAGATACCGACATTGTCACTATATAAATCATTAGCTAATTCAGGATGACAGTGAATATCACGTTTCATACTTCAAACTAAACGCGCGAGCGCACACACACACACACACACACACACACACACACACACACACACACACACACACACATATATATATATATATATATATATATATATATATATATATATATATATATATATTATAATTTAACTGATTTAAAATATGGTTTTCCGCAACACAGTTCTAACCATGTTTCAAAAATGGAAGCTAAAAGCTTCGAATTTTATTTTGTAATTAAATTAAAGACATTAGTTCCATTTCATTCTCAAGCGAATTTTGGAGTAACTTATTTCTAAATTTACTGGGTTTTAAAGGCACGGCAAAAATCATAATTTACAGTTTCCAAGGATACAGAGAAATCCATTCATCCAGACAAGGGGTGGTTGCGTGTTCATTTTCATTAACTTTTGTTGCATCAGTTATTAGTTACATTAGAAAAAGGGTTACGTTTAGGTAAGGGTAGGGTTGTATTTTTCAACGAATTCGGACATCTGTTAAATGCATGTCGTCTGGATTTTTTTTTTAATTTATTGTTAACGGCAAAATTCTTACGGTACTTTTTCTATTTGTATAATTAAAGATTTTGGGGGGATGTTTAGGTTAGAATACGTTTTATTTAAAATATTTTAACTTTTAATTTTTAAATATTTTTAAATATTTTCACTTTTAATTTTTAATAGACTATATTTCTTTTTAAAACAAGTAATTGTATTAGAATTACTTATAGTATGTAAAATTATTTTTTTTATATCAAGTATATATATTACCAGGTCACATTTTTAAAAAAATTATATTTAAATATTATTTAAGTAAAATTTATGATAATGACGGCAAAATTAGCTAATTCATTTTTCTGATTTAGTACACTTATATATATATATATATATATATATATATATATATATATATATATATATATATATATATATTAGTAAAGTTAATGATATAAAATGGCTAAAACTGTTCTCAAACAACACATTTTAAAGTTGCATTAACCTACGTCCCACTCGATGAAGGTTATGATCCTTATTCTTAATAACTACAAGCTGTATAAGGTCTTTTTTAATCTGCTAGTCCTTTCAACTGTACATACAGTCATCCTCAGGCATGGAAATTATTTTGTTTTTAGTAAATCCAGGTAGCATCAGAGACAAAACATTAAATGCGAATCGAAATATGTTTTTCTTTTTTAGAAATGTGTTATTTTTAACGGATAAAACTTTTGGAACGTGCAGTCGCAACGCTAAGGGTGAATTTTTTTAAGCATATTACGATTCGCATTTAATCTTTCTTTATATATATATATATATATATATATATATATATATATATATATATAGCTATGAATTAAATAAATTAATATAGATACAAGCAAGCATACCTGCGTGCGTTCACGCGCATATATAAATTTGCAAATAAATATTTTATTTAATTTTTGCTGTTAACAAACAATGTAGCAATCAGTTATTTATGTGACATGCGTCGTACACGCTTGGGCGATCAGGTATCGTTCGATACATGACTGACGAGGCAGATTTTTTTCCCGCAGTAGGTTGCCATTTTTCTGCGGTAGTCCAATTGTCATCCAAGGCTATAGATCCCGGTCTGTTCTGCTATTTACCCATAGCTGAGGGGAGAAGAATAGGATTCATACCTTTCCCAATGGTATTAGCACGTAAGTGAATGTAATAGATTCGATTGGAATTCGAACTCGGCTCTCCGATTCGTTAATCCGAACCGCTATCCATTAATACAGAGAATTAATACGGGTAATACAGAGCTATAAAGTATATAGTAATGAATTTATATATTGCTTTACGTCGAAATTCCGAGTCGTACATTCGAGGTAAGGAAATATGTATGTGATATAATAGAATATGCGTACACCTGTGTTCCTCCTCACTGAAATATGATTGGCTGGTGTCCGACATAAATACCGACGGACGTGTAGGTACGACAGAGTCAAAAAGCCTTAGTCTGAGAGCTAAGTCTATAACGACGCCCATTGGACTACGCCATTGATCTACACTTCTTACCTGCGACTACGACGCGTACCAGTCGATTACTGCTACCATATTCTACTTGGTTATAGTAGCCAAAACCACTTAGCTCTTTCGTTCAAATATATCCCTTTCCGGGACATATCAGTATGTATATATATATATATATATATATATTAAAGTGGACATTGATGTTGACGTCCAGCGGCGACAGTCTGTTTCAAACTTATAGAAAATCGAGGGGTACTGGGATTTTTTTTTTCTAGCCGAATTCACTTAGAGTCATTTTTTCTTTTTCTTTCCGTCACTTTTGTAAAGTAGATATTTCCCACTGTGATATTGGAAGATCTGTCGTGATCTGTCGTGAATAGTGAAAGGAGAAAACAATTCACATCGACGCCAATGTCTATAGAGTGCCTTAATCTCAAGGCCATCTACAGTAAATTTGCGCCCTTCGCTCTTTCTACGTTTCCACCATTCCTGGCAGATCTTCTAATATCACAGCTTAGAATAAATACTTATAAAGAAAAAGAAAATGATTCTAAATGAATTCGGTTGAAAGAAAAAAAAAACAAAATTCCCAGCATCCCCTGTCATGCGCATGTGTAGTCCTACCAACATAACAAAATCAGCTGATGAAGTCCTGAAGGACGAAACATGTCACAAGTAACTTTTTTCCACTTTGACATACAATTGTTCTTGATATATATATCGTTATCTCATACATCATATATATATATATATATATATATATATATATATATATATATATATATATATATATATATTAAAGAAAAAACAGACCACTTTAAGGTTCCATTATAATAATTTTTTTTCACCAGAGACCTTTTAAAGGACTCTGGATCATCAGATAACACTTCAAAAAGATGAAAAGAATTATACTTTTGATGGGTAGTGTAAGTTTTTGTAATTTACAGAGGGGGTAATGAGGGGTGGTTTTGAGAGACATATATATATATATATATATATATATATATATATATATATATATATATATATATATATATATATATATATATATAAAGAGAGAGAGAGAGAGAGAGTGAGAGAGTTAGATGTATGTTAGTATATATATAAATATATATATACCCATACACACACACACACACACACACACACACATATATATATAAATACACATATTTATATATATGTATATGTGTGTGTCTATATATATATATATATATATATATATATATATATATAGAGAGAGAGAGAGAGAGAGAGAGACTGTGTGTGTATTTAGACATGATTAGAATGTTGGCATTCTGACCATGAGACCCGGGTTCAAATTTCACCATGGTCGATTTGTCACGATAGAAACTTTCGGATGTTATCGAACTGGTTGATGACAGCGTGCGGAGCCTTTGGAAAGTGCCTGACACCATTTCACAGGTTGACCCAAGCCTTGTGAGTGAAATTGGTTAAACGGAAACCACAGAGCCGTCGATAGCTGTTCTAGCACGAAGTCACAAGTCATCGTGGCCGAGGGCTTGAGCGTGCTGGCCTTGTTCAAATTGTTGATCTCGCGAGATAAAACGCTCTTTCCCAGAAACTATAACTAAGGTCTGCTCAGCATATAAACCACAGTTGGGCTATGTTGGTGTTAAATAAATATAGGAATATTTTATATTGTGGCCGGGAGAGAAAATTTTTGCCACCTTAATTTTAAGAGTGAATGCCCACACAGACACAAAATAGCAGTGATAAAAAAAAAACTCCCTAAAGAGAACACACGAGAATTCATCATCCCGTCTCCTTTTCCTTAAATAACTCAACAAGGCAAAACAGACACCAGTTAACAATGGCTTTCCTAACCACCTCATCGACCGCCAAATTAGACTATTTCTTTCTAAAGTAACTTATAACGATAGTGAATACAGAGTCAAAAATAACTTTTTCTACAAAAGCCAATTGCGCGTCAACTACAAACAAGATGAATCTTCACTTAG